GGCCTTGGGTATTTTGGAGTTTGGGTCATGGGTTATTGGATCAGACATGAGAAGGGTAAAATGGTCTTTTACCCATTGGAAGTATAGAATATGGATTTGGACTTGGATTTTGGGAAATGACCTTAATTATTGATTAAGATATATGAGTATGTCAAGTGTGAGGTTTTCCGGTGGCAGCAGTGTGTGTGTCTCGGTTTATCTTGGATTGAGGTGAGTCACCTCACTGTGTTTGGCAGGTCGAAGGAACCAATGTCGGCCCATGATTTATCATGATTAGGATGCTAGTTGTCTATGTGACTCTTGCATGTGTAGTATGTGATATGCATATCGGGCGGGGTCTGATGCCAGGCGGGGCCTGCTAAGTGTATTGTATGCTATTTGTCTTAGTGATTCTTGCATGTGTTTTATGTGTCTGTATGAATGTCGGGCGAGGCCGATTCTATGCGGGGCCTGATGAATGTGATGAAGCAGGGCCCATCTCATGTTATTAACAGATCTATTCAGAGCAGGACCTGATGGTTGTTGGGCATGGCCCATTGTATGTTTGATATGTATGGTATGTGGTATTTTGGGGAACTCACTAAGCTTTGTGCTTATGGTTTTGTGTTTATAGTTTTAGGTACTTCCGGTACAAAAGGGAAGGGTCTGGCGTGATTGCACTTCATCCACCTATGTTTCCGCTACTTTATGATTTTGGGATTGTACTTTGATAACTATTTTTACTCTGATATATTTTCAAATGATTGAAAAAGGCCAAATAGTGTTTACGGTTGAATTATAAATGAATATTTTACCTTAAAATTTTTGGGATGTTACATATTGCCTCTATCAATGTCAAGAATTAGAAAGAATCAATCTTTTGAGAGACCAATAATGCTAAAAGAATTCTTCTTCCAAATCATGTTGTATGTAAAGAGTATGAGTAAGAATCCAATGCTTTTTTGTTCGAATATTGCATGCCAAGTGTTTGTGATATTGCCTCAATGAATACACCACATTTCTTTTACAGATGTTGTGCATTTCATGAATTATTCTCATTTATTATGCATAAGATTCCATTGAATTTGTTTGGAATTTTCACCTTTGGCTTCAAACCTCATTTGTGTTTTCCCCTAATTTCCACTTGGTCAGCTTGAATTGATTGTTTCAGGTCCTATTGCAGGTGCAACCATGGTTAAATGAAGCTTAAACACCCTTTGACCACTGAGAATACTGTCGTCACCATCGTACCCTCCACAACCACCATCATTCCTGGGTCACTACCAAATTGTCGTCCCCCAGATCTCCGGAACGAATCACTTTCTCAATCGTTATTTGGTTTAGTTGTTCGGTTAGGCTTTGTATATTGATTATGGTTTTAAGGTATTGTTTATTTTGCAGTTGTAATAAGGTGAAGGGTGAAGGATGGATGAGTTACTCTCCTAGAGATTGACATAGGAGTGGAAGCTATTGTGTTCACCAGACCCAAGAACATGTAAATTCTAAGCTTTTTTTTACCTATGAATCTTTCAAACTATGTTGATGCTTATTTAGAAGTGTGTTCTTGTAGGAAAGGCACATGCATGGTGGAGTAGATGTGTACCAAAGCAAATAGTTGGGTAGAAGAATCCAAGGAGATGCAGTGATAGGTTTTGTGGGCGGCATTAATACTTTTGAAGCCACTTTGAATCCATCAGAAACTTGATGTAAGATCTTTATTGTTCTTAAAAAAATTTTAATTATCTTTTTTTTTGTTAAATTTGCTCGAAACAAAGTCACAAAACAAAAACAAATTGATTAATTTTTTTATGGTGAAATAAAATTTCTGATATGCTTTAAGTGAGGTTTCTAAAATTATTTTGACATTATTTATCATAACATATTCAGCTTGTGTTAATTTGGTTGACTATATCTTAAGAAAGCTTCCATATGTCAAAAAGGCATTTTATTTTGTGTAACATGTTTAGGAGTTGTGAATTCTGATTTAGTTGGTGATTATCATGTTTGTTCCTTGAAATGTTTTTTGTAACTTGGTACTTGTTATGATCTTTATGCTGATTGCAGTTCAATGGTTAAAAATTCATTCAGATCATCAACTCTTACAATCCCAAGTTATTGCAGAATTCAAATAGCTTGAAGAGTCGGTAACTGAAGAGCCCAAGTAAAATTATTTTTATTTTCTTACTTTTTTACTGTATACGGTTTTCCACTTTCATCCCCATGATTGGTACAACAAAATAAAGGAATGGTTTGATAAGATTATAAAAGGGTATTATGGTCCTTTTATGGATTTTGATGGCATTTACAAAAACAAGATGAAATGACAATATGGTCTTTCTATGATCATTGTTAAATGAGATTGGGTTATAAAGCTTGATTGGATTTTTGTGATTTTAGCACGCAGGGGAAAGAAGGAATCAATGTAATAATTTGAAGTTTTGGCGAAAATTTAGAAATAAAGGACGTTATGGTCTTTTTTTGGTTATTGTCAAATGTGACATAAATTGTCATTACTTTGGTAGGCTGGGGAAAATTAGTGTGGTGCAAAAATAAGAACAAATGACAGTATTGTCTTTTCTTGGCTATTGTTGATTGCGATTGGTTTATTCAAGCATGCATGCATGAAGTTTAGAATATGAGGAATGCAAATATGTTGTATAAAAACTTTAAGGGTTATTTTCGTTCGACTTTGAATTTTGTTGGATTAAAAACTTGTGTAAGCCAGTTTCATATTTTAATATGTAAAAATAAATATGTTATTTATGCGATATTATAGGATCAATATATTCAAGTTATTTTAATAACAATTTAAAAGTTTGACTTATGTAATATCTAAGTGATGATCGCACATTAGTAGTGTAAAATCATTATAATCAGTAATATTTGTTATTATATCTTTTAAAAAGACATAACATATGGCAAAATAACAAAAAAATTCTATTTTTACAACTTTTATAGATTAACCATTCCTTTTCAGTATAGCAGTTGACTTTACCAAAGTTTAATGGAATTAATAAAAAAATAAGGAAAAATGACTCTGGAGGGTAACTAACTATTTTGCTTGTTCTCATTTGGTCCCTTTCCTTTTTTTGTACTCAATATACCATCAAACTTGTTGTTTGTGTTCATCATAACCCTTTTGACTGGCTTTTGACCGACTATCACCTGTGATAGCCGGTCAAAGGGTTATGGTGAACACAAACAACAAGTTCGATGGTATATTGAGTACCAAAAAAAAGGAAAGGGACCAAATGAGAACAAACTCAAGAGTTGGTTACCCTCCTGAGTCATTTTCATCAAAAAGTTAAATGAAATTAAAGTTGCAAAAGTATCAAAGACTGCAACCTTCTTTGGCCATAACGTACATGAAGAGCGTTTCAGAGTGGTAGCTTCGTTAAAACATGGTCTATGTTATGCTTACTGTGGTTAGCTGTCAACACCTCTCTGGAAAAGGATATGACTGTGTATGAGAGATATGTTTATCAGCATAAACGTTTACCTCAAGGTATATTATGGTGATGTGTCTGCAAAAGCTGCATGATCTTGTACATATTGATGTTGTATCTTCTCCCATGAATTCGATATTAAAGCCAAGTAAACTCAAAAATCACAGAAATTGGGATTCCACTCGTTTGTAGACTTGTCCAGAATCCATGATACGATAAATCATTTGATTGGAAACATAAATGTAGTCATGAAATGCACCTGATTAGTTAAAATTCCCTTAATAAATGTTCAAGTGCATTACAAAGTTGTACATGTATGAATAATGTTCTTTCGTGGGTTATGTTTTGAAGAGAAGCAAAAATAAATCTCATAAAGTCATTAATATAAGCAGGAGATGACGTGAGATTTTCTGTAATGAGTAAAAGGAAAATGACACAGGAGGGTAACCAACTGTTGAGTTTGTCCTCATTTGGTCATTTTTTTTACTCAATATACCATCGAGCTTATTGTTTGTATTCACCATAACCCTTAGACCGACTATCACACGTGATAGCCGGTCAAAAAGGTTATGGTGAACACAAACAACAAGTTCGATGGTATATTAAATACAAAAAAGGAGACCAAATAATAACAAACGCAACAGTTAGTTACTCTTAAACGTCTATTTCCCTAAAAAAAAAAAAAAAAAAAAAAAAAAAAACTTATGTTAACGTTTAGTTATGAAATCTTGACATAATGTACGGCAAGAAAGTAACAGTTGTCTATATATAATTGACTAAACAACAATATTTTTATTGAAACCGAGTGAATAAAATGTTAAGATAAAAGTTAAAAATTGCAAATAGTTGCCAATTGGTTAATGGTATGCGATATTTATAAAAGGCTGCAAAAATTATGCTAACAGGTCCAAGTGGTTTCCCATATGTAAGGCATCCACTTTTGTCGTTTATCTTCATTTTTTACATCATGTTTTATGAAAAAAAAAATCTCTTTTAAAATAGACAAAATTGCAAAAATGGTCATGTGGTATGTATTTTTTTTGGGTTTTAGTCAAAGCCTCGATTTTTTTGGATTAGTGGTCCTTTTAAGCTAGTTTCGTTACGGATTTGGTCCCTAGGTAAACTGAAATGACTGTAATGCCATTCTGGTTTATTTTTTATATTTTATTCTATTTAATTTAAATGAAAAAAAATAATTAATTAATTTGGGCTGTCTCTCTGTCCAAACGTAGATCGAGAAAAACAAAGGTGATGTTGTTCTTCAACTCCTCAGGAAACCTTCTCCTCTCACTCTCACACAGGTTTCAATTAATCTCTCTCCCTCTCTTCATCTCCTTCATAATCTTCATCATGTTCACTCGCAAACGGTAGCACTGAAATCGAAGGTCCTACCCAAAGATTAAAAAATTGACGATTGAAATGGAAATGTCGACCACCATCAACCTCTTTTCAGAGTGAAGAAGCTATCAGAGATCTGGTCTCTTTCAACCATTCTGAAAGGGTAAAGCAAAGTGCCAGCAAGGGGTAAAGCACTGGTTCCCACAGATTTATCCATAGTTGTATTAGAAGGGACAAATGATGATGATGATGTTTGTGAGGAAGAAGACGGGTGCGTCCCCAGCCACTTACAGAGTTCGTAATCTTTTAGATGCACTCCAGGTGCTCGACCTTATGTCTAGCTTAGTCTTTGGTTCAATTCCTTCGTCAACTGGCTCTCCAAATCAACTTAATCTTCTACTTCTTGCCGATAATTCTCTTATCGGGATTATCCTAGATTCTTGATCACGACTTTATTTACTATCAATTCTAAATTTTCTGGTGTTTGTTTTAATTGGATTCTTGTCTAGGCTTCTGGATATTCCAGTGGATGGACGTCTTGCAGAGATGACCAGCACCAATGGTGAGAGTGTAGTCGTTATCGAAAAGTGGCATAGAAGCCATCCCGGACAACTACGTGAAACCCATTATGGACAGGCCATCGGTGGTGGAGGAATCGAATGAGTTCAATATCCTAATCATTGATCTCAACTCAGATGATGCAGCGTTGCGTAAGGCCACTTTGGAGCTAATATCTGATGCTTGTCGTGAGTGGGGGTTCTTCCAGGTGGTAAACCATCGTGTCAGCCACCAACTCATGGCGGAGACACAGAAGGAGTGTCGAGAGTTCTTCCAGCTTACCGTGGAGGAGAAGCAGAAGTACGCTAACTCACCGGAGACTTATGAGGGATACGCAAGTCATGTTGGGGTGGTGAAAGGTGCCAAATTGGATTGGAGTGATTACTTCTTCCCTAACTATCAGCCTCTTTCTTCAAGAGACGACGGAAGTCAATTTTTTCAATCAATATAAATTGGTTTTGTGCCTTTTGATGAGGTGTGATATTTCTTGATAAATGTTTGGTGGTATGCATCTATACTTATGTATTAGTTTTTTTTTTTAATTTAAGAATTGTGATATGTGTGTGTTTTTTCATAGAGAGAGAGAGAGAGAGAGAGAGAGAGAGAGAGAGAGAGAGAGAGAGAGAGAGAG